AGCTTGAATGAGTTCCATAGAAGTTGAATCAGGACATAGCGATATTTAACATGAAGTCCAGGGTGTTTTGCTCCTGTATGGGGCAATGAGCAGTTGGTTGGATTTTCAATAAAACTGGTAGGGAATCAAAGTAATGAAAGTTGTTGGCATTGTGTGGGGATCATTGCAATGAAGAGCAGTTTTGGAATTTTCCCAAGAAGCCTCAAAATGAGTGTTGGGGCAATGGGGGATAAGCGATGGGTTCGTTGTCACAACAATGCTTGGAAAGAAGAAGGTTGCCATCAATGGGCGAGAAATTCCTTTTTGGGCAATTTGTGACATATATTTTTGGCAATTTTTAACTTGGTGATGGAATTTTCGAAGCAAAGGTTTGGCGAATTTCCTAAATAAGCAAAGTATGTTTTACGCATTGCTAAAGTTGTTAAATGAAAGTCAGTGTCCCTGAGATAATTGCCCACAACGTGCCCAATTGGTTAATGACAGGACGATTGGGATACTTATTTCAGGACCACTTGTAGCTAAAGTTGAAATTTACCCCAATTGTGAGCTTGAAACCGAAACATTCCAACCTTGGCAATCGGGGCAAATTGTCAATTTTCCTTGCCCGAGTTGCTAATAGTCAAGAATAGGTTAACTGCTAACCAATCCCTTAAAGGGACCCTCATATGAAGATAGGAGCCATTTTTGATTGCGTGGACAAGTTGGTGCATTATGGTGTGTGATTAAGTGAAAATTTGAACATGGATAAGCGGGTTGGGCTGGCGAATTCTAATCATGAAGTACAATTGATTTTTTGGGTGAGTTAAAACAACTGGGTCTGGGGTAGTGGATTGCTGATTATGGATGAGGTGGGAAGTTTGTTCAGGAGTAAAATCATCCATTCGGAGGTTGGTGTCTTAGATGTGGGGGGTTGATGATAGCTTTTGAGGGGCTGATTTTTGGCGCAGCTTCGTCAGCAACAATGAGGTGGAAATGACAACGAAAGGTATGGTATCTTTGAAGGTCGTGTTGAGTCGGGCTTAGTGATGGTTGAGTTGGACTTTCCTGGAAATGAGGGCTGTTGAGTGGTTTTCCAAAACTGCAATGGTGTCGTAAACATCATCAACCTGGTTATGGAGGTGCTCATGATGAACATCCACCGCAGCGGCGACGGACGTAGGGTAGCAGCCTAGCGGATAGGTGTGTTTTTGCCCATTCTGTTTGACTGGGCTCGAGTACCAACTTGGTAACCCCCAATTGGATCAGAAGCTGAAATTGTTAGAAAATAGAAGAATAGTACAAAGGAAATTTAAAGAAGAGAAAGGGAAGAAGTTGAGACAAAGAGTAAAAGGATTCTTTCTTCTTTCATTCATTAGCCCTTCATGAGGCTGAGGCCGACGACGTCAGGGTCAGAGCTAGCGGATGGTGTGTTTTTGCCCATCTGTTGACGGGCTCTGATACCAACTGGTACGCCCAATTGGATCAGAAGCTGAAATTGTTAGAAAATAAAGAATAGTACAGGAATTTAAAGGGAGAGAAAGGGAGAAGTTGAGACAAAGAGTAAAAGGATTCTTTCTTTCATTCATAAGCCCTCTGAGGCTGAGATTAATATATATATATATATATATATATCAAGCCAATAAAGGGAAACCCTAGCTATGGGGCTTAGGCATGAAGTCAAGAAAAAGTAATTATTAACAAAAGGCTCGGGACTGGAAAAGAGGAGTAAGGCCCAATAGTCAGGTCCTAAAACTCTGCGTCTATAGAAGCTTAAATGATCAAAATCTCCTAGATGGGCAACAAAAATATAAGTTTACAACTTCTGAATTTGAACCTAGCTGCATGTGTATATAACCCTAGCTAGGGTTTCTCTACAACCTCGGTTATTCGGTGGGTCCAACCCTTGGCTGGGTGCCTGGGTGCGCTCCAGCAAGCCCAAGAGAAAACAAAATCCTAGATAAACTGATCCTTTGATGGGAAATTTAGAGTCTCAGGCAGCCGCTAGCCACCACAAACATGATCCATATTTTAAGCTCCTGACTTCAAAACCCAAGAATGTTCAAGTTTGACTTCAAAGTTCAAAGCCTGCAGGTCTTTTTGTATATATTTGGCCTCAAAAGAGAAGCCTGCAGGTTTTAAACAAATCATTTTTCTGTTAAAAAGCTGAAACAAATCTGGAAGGAGAGGACCTACTTGATGGGGAATAAAAATATGAATTGATGGGGAATAAAAATATGAAAGCTTAATAAGCATTAGGTTATGGGCTCCTGCGCCAATAATTACAATTATTTAATCTAATGGCGCTGTAAGCATCAGGTTATGTTTATTTTATGGTGTATGTGAACAGATGATTACGTGTGCACCAATTTAGTTATTCCGAGATGTAACAGCATGTCAATTAGGTTAGAATGATTTTTGCAGGTCTTTCTACTGTTTCAGCTATTTGGAAGGACTTGGATTCTCTGCCCTCCCATTTCGGTGCCCTTTCCGTGCCCTTCTGTTTTGTGTGGTCACGGTTAATTCATGCTAACATTTTATATTGTTTTTTATAAAAATAATAAGACAAAAAAAAAATAGTAATATAAAATATTGACGTGGCTTAACCGTGACCACACAAACAGGAGGGCACGGGGAGGGCACCGAATTGGGAGGGCAGAGAATCCAAGTCCATTTGGAAGGCTCAAAATAAATTTATTTTTGAGGATCGTCTAATCTATTTTCATCGTCTTTGCATGTCTAACAATTCAGCGATTGTTCATGGTGGGAAGTTTATTCCTGGTTATTCTCAAGGTTTCGACACTCAGATCATTTCTTCTTTGGGGATCCAACATATCCCTTGCAAGGCACCTACTATTATTCATGTCCTTTGGTCTCCTCCTTGGGTTAAGCTTAATACAGATGGTTTGTCTAAATGAAATCCCGGTCCTGCTGCATGTGGAGGAGTTTTCAGGAATTGCCATGGTCATTTTCTTAGAGGTTTCTGTCAACGGATTGGTCATCGCAACTCTTTTTTTGCAGAGTTATAAGCAATTATTATTGGTATTGAGTTTGCTTATCAGCGGGGTTGGCATTGTCTTTGGTTGGAAATTGATAGTTCTAGTGTTATTTTTGCTCTTCAATCGTCTAATTTTGATCCTCCTTGGCCTCTTCATACGCAATGGTCTATTTGTTTTGATCGCATTTGGAAAATGACTTTCTATGCATCTCACATATATCGCGAATGAAATCTTGCTGCGGATAATTTTGCTAACATGGGCTTGTCTTCTCCATCTTTAACATGACATGATTCTCCTCCGGTGGCGGTTCGTGCTGCTCTGTTTTCTGACTATGTTGGCTTGCCTGGTTACCGCTTCTCAAATTAATGTGCATGCCGGCATCCATGTTTGTCTCACTTTCTTTTTTTTCTCCTAACTTTATGGTGTTGTTTAACTTGTTTTGCAGGTTTAGACCTTTATGTTTGGTTCTAGAGAGGTTAGGTTTCATGTCTCCCCCCCCCCCCCCTTTTCTTTGTATCATTCTCGTTTTTTGTTTTTAGAAGGATAAGGTTTATGTCCCCCCTTCTTTTTAGTGTATTCCTTTTTGTTGTCTCTGTTTTTTGAGGGGTAAGGTTTATGTCCTCCCTGACTAGGTGTAACTTATTTTTTCGTTATCAATAAAATTACCCTCGTACTGTAAAAAAAATAAAAAATAAAAAAGTGGATCAAATACAATCGTCACACATCGAGAAGGGTATATATATCTTAAGTAATTTTTTTTTTAAATTGTATCGAAATCTTTTAAGATATATAAAATTTCCTAATTAGAAGTGTCTGACTCTAGAGTCCTCACCTTACCTTAATTATATGAACTTAGGTGATAAGCTAGAAGTATTGTTAGTGCAATGTGGCCATTACTAAATAGTTGAATACAAAGTTTACCCTTTCTACAATTAAAATACCACGATAATAATATTAAAAAAATTATCACACACTAATATGTATTTTAATTTTTTTACATGACAGTATGTAAAGGTAAGATATAAAGTCCTTTTATTTTTGTCTACATCACCAATTTACCATCATTAATCTTTCTGGGGCCTGGACTCCCACTTAAATTTTGACCTTTCAGCCATTGGCTGCTTTGCCTTCTCTTTTTCAGGTCCATAAATCAGATGGTCCACAGCTTTCACTGCACTCACAACAAAAAGCTTGCATTTATTCAGACATACAAAAATGGGCAAGTGAATAAGCTATTCTTCCAAATCAAAACAAATATACGTACAAAGGAATTTATGATCTGATATATAAGGTCCCTCCTTGCACATGCTCTCTGCAATAAAAGAATTCATCAGGTTTGGGTGGTCAGTGGGTTTGGGGTCCATCTTACCCCAAGCATGCACCCAGCAAGCATCAGCTACTGATCAGCCTCTGAATCACAACTAAATTTGTAGTCACTGTTCCATTCCATGGCACTGATGAGCATTTGCCCTTAATCTTCTCACAAATTTCCCAAACCTTACATCGCCATTTGAAACTAGTTAGCTATATATTTCAGAACTTTTTTTCTTTTTTTACACCAATATAAATTCTAATCTACGTAAAAAGAGTTTGAACTTGAGTGCAAAGAGACAAACGCTCCAGCTTAAAACTATGTCTATGCTATTATAGACTTATTCAGTTACATAAGAAAATATGCATATTTATTTGGCTAAACAGAATCAATAGAGAAAACTAGGTGGTTAGCCAATATAATTAGCTAATTTGGTGTTCATACACGTGAATGATTCTCTATAAAAGTAAGATTAAGCATCTAGACCTCATTAGATATTTTATTCTCAATTGATATATACAAATGATAGATTTTCACACTCTCGTTTTCTCCTTCTGATTTGTCTTATAGTTTTGTCTCTTGATTATTCTTTAATTTATTCAGTGCGAAAACAAGGAAACAAAAATGAATGCCAGATAAAACGATGGTATATCACTTTTCTAAATATATAAGCCAGTCCACTTGTGTAATTTTATAACTCTGCAAGCCTCAAAGCGGCTGCTTCATTTTAGCTTTTTATACATTAGACCTTCATGTGCTTCCACTTCATTTCACGGGTCCTGATTCTCTTTATATGTTCAACAACGGCAATTTGTCCCCAGCGAACTTCCACTTGCTCCACTCTTTGTCTTAAGCTGCATCACAATATCCAAAGTTCCAAAAACCATGCCTGTCCTTACTTCCTCTTCTTCTTCTTCTTCGTTTGCATTCACTTGTTTGACCATTTTCTTGCTGCTTATTCTGCACAATAGTACTGCAATTTCCTCATCCAAAACCGCCGCCAATGTGACTCATCGAAGCCGCCAACTCTCGGTTAATTACTATGCCAGATCATGTCCTCAACTCGAACAACTTGTCGGATCCATCACATCCCAACAGTTCAAAGCATCGCCTGTGTCCGGCCCGGCAACCATTCGCCTTTTCTTCCACGACTGCTTTGTAGAAGTAATCACAACTCCACGCAACAATAATGCACATCTGTTTGGTTTAATAATATGCATGCATGTAAGCTTTAATGTACTTTTAATGCATATTCACCTTATTAATTTTTCTGGTACGCTATTTTTCGAAGGGCTGCGACGCATCGATAATCATAAACTCAAAGCCGGGCAACAAAATGTTGGCCGAGAAGGATGCAGCTGATAACAAGGACCTGAGACAGGAAGGTTTTGAAAGCGTGATGAAAGCCAAGGCTGTGGTGGAGAGCAAATGTCCTGGTGTCGTGTCCTGTGCAGACATACTTGCAATTGCAGCCAGAGATTATGTCCACTTGGTAAGTCCTAGATCAATTTTTTGCCCTCTAATTTCTAATAAGTTGCAATGTGGAGTGTGGACCTGTAGTTGTTATCCACTCTTATGTGTGATAAGACATAACGTAGTAATTTCAGCACTTTCAATTAAGCTTTTGGCAGTCGAAATTGAGTACTCAATAATTTTACACACCTCGAAGTGGGAGTGTCAAAATCATTACCAACACATATGTAATATATGACATATGCTATGATTTCGGCACTTCCAATTTAACTTTCAAAATTATTAAATACTCGGATCATAAGCTAAAGTGAGAGTATCCAACATCAGTACCAACTCTTCTCTGATATAACATAATACCATGGTTTGACACATTCACTATAGCTTATGGAACTCGTATGTAGGAGTTTCAAAATCGCTACCTTTTTAATTTTATGCACGTACATATTTACATTTTTCTAATTCTAATTTAACTGGGACAGGCAGGGGGTCCATACTATCAAGTTACGAAAGGGAGGTGGGATGGAAAAATATCAATGGCTTCAAGAGTGCCCTCTAATATTCCCCAAGCAAATTTCACAGTGGATCAGCTACTCGAACTCTTCAATTCAAAAGGGCTAACACTTGAAGACTTGGTTGTTCTTTCTGGTGCACATACATTTGGCTTTGCTCATTGCCGGAACTTTGTAAGCAGGCTGTATGACTACCGGGGCTCGAAGCAGCCCGACCCAGCTATCGACCAGAGACTCCTGAGGGCCCTAAGAATGTCATGCCCACATTTTGGTGGAAATGCCGACGTTGTTGCACCATTTGATGTGACTACGCCGTTTGTGTTTGATCATGCTTATTACGGGAATTTAGAGGCTAAACTGGGATTGCTAGCTTCAGACCAAGCTCTATCTTCGGATCCAAGAACCAAGCCAATTGTCCAGGCTCTGGCACAAGATAAACAAAAATTCTTTCAAGCTTTTGCGGTGGCCATGGAGAAAATGGGTTCAATAGGTGTGAAAAGAGGAAGAAAGCATGGGGAGAAAAGGAAGGATTGTAGCCTGCATATGTTATGATATATTTTTATTTGTTTTGAATTACTCGATTGAATCTTGGGTAACTCTTTTTTCTTGGGTTACCCTTGGTTCGGCCTTTTTCTTCTCTTTTTCGTTGTTTTGGTTTGTTGTATATTGCTAGCCTAGCTACACGTTCAACGACCATTGTAATATTACCAAGGAATGCCGCCAACATTTGATGCTCTCTCTCTCTCTCTCTCTCTGAAAAAGCTCCAAAAGAAAACTTTGCTCAGCCGCCGGCCCTAGCCTTTGGCTTTTGGGTCTGTGGCAGTCCTCAATCTCTCTTGCTTTCTTCTACTTTTCCTTCTTCTTTTCCTGTTTTTTTTCTTTTTCTATGCTTTTTTATGAGCTCTGTCTCATCTATCTAAGCTTTTGTCTCAGTTTTGTACCCTCTCCTCAGTCAACTGCCGCTCACCACCATCCCCCTCCTCCCTCCCCATCACACCCTTTTCTCCTACCTCCTTCTTCCTGCCCTTCATCTTTTCCAACTCATAACCATGAATTAGATCTCTGAGTGTTGGGCTCTATCTTGACACAAGGCCCAACCTTTATAACTCACTGTCGATCCGGCTTACCGAAAAAATTGGACGAAGTATGGAACGATTCACGTCGGAACAAGGGTGTTATACACACCCCCTTTGCCCTCCCCCTCCTCCTGTTACTTTTGGTGACTTTTCTTACAGGTGTGGCTATGGAGGCTTTGGCTCTTGATGGATTGACTCTATGTAATACTCTTAGATCTAGTTTTTGGTTCGGGTGTAGTTTTCAGTTTGGTGTGATGTCTTCTTTCGCGGAGGTAGTAGCAGTTGTGGCGGTGGTGACTTTTCAGTTTGGTGTGATGTCTTCTTTTGCGGAGGTAGTAGCGGTTGTGGCGGTGGTGACTGGTTTTTTTCTTCTGGAGCTTAGGGTTTTAATGTTCATTGCTTTTTTTGGTAGCCTACGGGCCTAAATCTGTGTGGGCCTCCCTTTATGGCTGGGGTTGTAGCTCTCTTTTTTGAGCTTGTTTTATTGCGCTTGGTTTCTATTTTATGTTTACTTTGTTTTGTAAGACTTTGTGCTTTGTTTAGGTTTAAGCCTTTCTAAGTACAAATTGGGTTTCCCTTTCATCAATGGAGCTTCATTCTCGACCAAAAAAAAAAAAATCTCAAATAATCACAAAATAGTACGTATATATAGTGTTTGTGCTGAATGCAAGAAGGCATTGATGAATTGGTTGGCCACACGGGTTCAAGATTAGTGTACTCCCCTTGTATTTGCAGTGTATTCCGTCGGCGTTTGCGTTCGACTGAACTTAATTGTGTCAGCAATCATGTCAGGAACTCGAATGATGTGATCGAACACCGATCATGATTGAATCGGTCGGATCGAGTGAAGAATCATTTAGCAGTGGAAAGGACTGGAATTTGAAACTTGTGCGGTGTAATATTTGTCTTTCTTGATTGATCATGTGAATCTTCAGGTAGAAAATATGGTACATTGAAAGATGGCATTCGTCAATGTTTATACATTCTTCTGGGTTTTTCTGTTTAATACTAGCCATTTCATGAGGCAGTCCAGGACAACCCGTTCGAATACTTGAATTCTATCCTGACTGAAGTATATCACTGCGATTGTACAACCTAATGCAGATTAATCCTAAAACAAAAGTAGACGGCCATGACGGTTTAGGACCGACCAAAAAAAAACAACTCTCACGCACGTTCCTCAGTTCTTGTTAAGCTTTCACCAATAGCTATTTGCAGCTGACCTGAAAAATGAGGAAACGAGCAAAGCTCAATCATTGTTTCTTCGGACGAAAAATACAGTTGTAGACTAGGATCAGAATCTTTCCCTGAGCAACCGACGCGATCAAGATTCAAGTACAGCCAATACACGTAAGGATACTAGAGCTTTGATCCAGGTTACCTGTAACATACTGTGACTTTGCTGATACGATCGTAGCTGCCGTAAATAGTGCTTCCTTTCCAAGTGACAAGACCTCCATGCGCCTAAACCATGTTTCGTTATAATACGAAACCAGGTTTGGTTATAATACGAGGTTAAGAAGAAAAAGCCTACGTGCTTAAGTTACCGTGCATAAAACATGTGCAAAGGAAATAAAGAAACAAACAAGTAAAAACTGATTCTAATTCGAGCTTACTTGTCTGCTGCCTTCATATTTTTGAATGCTGATATTATATTCTCACATATTTCAACAAGCAAGCCGCTACTTGTTTCTCCATCAGAAGTAGAGGTGTCTCCAACAAGAAGGTTTTCACATGGCAGCGACAAATGAGCCTGAAAAAAACTTGGGAAGTCTAAGAAACTTATGGTTGAAGCGTAAGACATGCTACTCTGATAGACTTAACATTATAAGCCTTACAGCATAAGATAAATGCCATTTGGAGTGTTAATTTATCATAGAATATGGGTGCGAGATCATGCACAGATACACGTTGTACATAGTATGTTTGTTTAGCCATCAAATCAGATATGGATGTATCTCGATTCATCCCAGTTGTCCAAGTGTCATGAAATTGGAAAACAAGACCTCATCTAAGGTCTTTGCAGACAATTTTCAGGCATTTTGCTTGCACAATGCCCTCTAAACGTCATTGACTGCATTACCACCTCAAAATCAACAGCACACAGTAATTGACAAATTTCGGTAGTCCCACAAGAAAAGCCAAGCTATATTTATGTGCTACAAACAGTCCACAAATGAACATTTTTGCACCCATGCAAACAGGTGCCCACACAATATGAATGTTACGTTAAAAATAACATCACATCCTTTGAAGAATCAACCAAAACATCGCCCTAGAATGAATAATGAAAATAATCACCTGAAATCCATGTGCTAAAAGCAACTGCACTACTTCTGTCCTAATCTTCTTTATGGTACTTTTTGCGCTGGTGATATTTGAAAAGCACTTCAACGCTCCGTTGAAAGATGCATCATCATCTGGAGGACCATTTGACCTACGAGTGCGAATGGAAGGCTACAACATGTAGAACATGATGAAGTTAAGGGAGGACATTATCAATGAGGGAAAAGTGTGCTTCAACTTCCGTCATAACAATATCAAAATGCCTTCAGGAAGACATTAACAGGGAACATAAATAATAAAAGTAATGTCAGGACAATATCTAGGCATTCTGAAACTTACTTTAGCAATATATTTCCACAAGTACTTAACAACTATCTCAAGCTTCCATTTAGGTTCATCGAAAACCTGCAAATGCACCCTCATAAAATATACTAGCAGAAGAAAACAGTACAGGGAAACAGAAACATATAAACCCGCAAATGGGAGAGGGTGAGGATAGCAATTAAAGAAATATGAACCTGGAGAAATGGGTCAAGAATATCTTTATTGTACGTTAGTTCCTCCAGAATTATCTCCAACAGAGGAGATCTGCACCAAATGCCAAAAGTATTTTTCGTATCAAGATGATCAAAATAAAAGATGATACATAACAATAGGAGAGAGGAAGCAACCATCATTCTTTCAAGAACACGAAACTAGTACCTGATACCATCAGCTCGGGTAGTAGAACCTTGGATATCTGCACTCTGCTTGGACACATCAAGCTCCATAATCTGAAAAGTCCAAAATTAGTGCCACTGCTGAAATCATTATACAAACCTCCATTCAAACATTTCTAAGCAACTTACAATTACTAGAAACTTCTGCATGGCTATGCAAGTATTATTTCCTATCTCGAGTAAAGCAATTGCAGCAGCAGCATCAAATTTTTCAGCGGGTTGTGCCACAGATTTCTTTGAACATATCAGATCATCGGTGAATCCAGCATGGGTTTGATACAGGTTACACATAATGGTCAAGCAATCCTTCGTCAAGCTTTTCTGGTTTACTTTCCTTGACACCTTCAAATAATACGTTTGAGGGTAAGAGTTGTGGTATAAGAATCACTTAATGTATTCCACAATCGAAAAACAGGCTCTTCGGTATTCATGGCTTGAAAGAGAAAGGTATACCAGAAGCATGTTGATTAACGACTCTCTCAGAACTACCCAGTTCATGGTTTCTGCACACAATAAGGAGCACGTTAAAACTTCCAGAAAGCTAGTGGCACATAACATTACAGATAATCAGATATCAACTTACCTTTATAGATACGGTTACGAGGTAGAAAGTCCCATTCCAAAACATTAATTAGGTATTGAAACAATAGCATGTTTGCTAAAGTCTGCAAAAAAAAAAAAAAAAAATCATATAAGACCAAATAAGGGTGGTAAAATTCGCTTATCTGGGGAAACAAGACTAGAGGTTAAGTAATTCTATTGCATTAAACTACCGGAAACATAAAACTCAGTCAAAACTCATAACCACAGGTTGAGTGCTTATGCACAATACAGTCATAAGATGCTCTCTGAATCTGACACCTACCTCTTCAGATTCCTCTTTAAAAAGAAAATAACGACAGTGTACCAATATCTAAACCATGGAATGAATCTTCAGAACATAAGAAGAATTCCTACATTTGGTGAACACAGAACTACATATCAAGTGAGGCATATTGAACCTGATTGACTCATATTTGTGCCTGAATCACTATGCACATAGATGGACACTATTAGTTGTCTCCATGATCATCCTCACATTTTTGCATTCCACAATTATCTTAGTTTCTAAGGTACATATCACATGTATGCTGGTTCAAGACCAAGATGCATTTGCGTTTTGCACATGTCCCACAAGTCATAAACAGTCATAAAGAAACCAATTTTATCAGACATATCCATAGATATACACTAATTCACAATCTTGTCATATACCTTTTCTATTATCTTAGTGCAAGTAAACTAACCTTTGTTTCTGATGCTTGGAAGTTTGCTTCATCAGTTGCATCAGCAAGGTCTTGTATCAAAAGTTGGAAACCCTACCATTGGCATGAGAACACTTCAATCAAGGTGTAATTTAAGATCTGAGCTAAGAAATTAAGATTCCCCAGGATCTTAAACATAACAAAGGGAAGAAGCTTTCACACTAGACTCAAGTGTCTACGGTGCATCTATTACTCTTTGTCTATGCATTGTGACTCCTCCGAAAAGAAATAGAAAAGTTAAACTAAACAAACTTATTACAATTTACTAATGAATATGAACATCGAGATAATGCAAACTCACAGAGGAGTCAACTGGTCCCCCAGAGTTATTAGTAGCTCCCCTCTCATTACTAGCATTTTCGGAGGAAGCGAAGGGATACCAAGCCTAACAAGCACACATAAATGTCATTATGATGCAATATTAATCAGTTACAACATAAAACATATATCAACAGATGGGAAAGAAAACAAAATCTTAGTACCTCTTCAACCACGATTAATTCGGGCACGCTACTGGATGATGTTGAATTATCTACATCGGAAGAATATATCCGAGGAAAACGCTAACATACAGGGGGAAAAAATTGTAAGAAAACACTGCACAATTTGATTGTATAAAAACATAAATTGAAGATTCAAAGTAGTGTTGGAGTACCTTATCTAACTCATTCAAAAGCCGAAAACTTTCCATGGTCAATTCTAGAGACTTCCCAATCCTCAAGATGGAGAAGATTGCCTCAAACATGGCACTGTCAAACAAAATTGACATGAACAGAAGTTGGTTATTCTTATTTGGGCAAAGATATATATCGTAAACATCTATTACAATGTACAAAAGTTTCCATCTTTTGTAAAACTTATGCCTATTAACAAGGTAATTTACTCTAAAGATCCAATCTTTTTCCTTCCTTTTGAATTTAAATACACAGAGATAGAGAGAGAGAGACTAGGTAGGTGGAGTTCCGTCTTTCGGTACAATGGAAGCAGCGCGAACGGCTTCCAGAAAAGTGATTCCTGTTCATCAATTTCCAAATAAATAAGCAACCATTGTTTTGATCCATGACAAAAATGTTGGAAGAAAAAAAAAATAGAAATAAACCGGTAAAATTCCCACTTCGAGACAGAACGGGGTTATAACTTTCGTTTTCCAGGCATCAAAACAACTGATAGCGGAATTGATTTTAGTTCCCCATGTTCATTTTCTTGGCAAATTTTCTCGGGAACCAAACAGAAAATTATCAACAAAAAGGGAACAAAAGAATTAAGACTTACT